AGAGAAAGGAAGCTGGGAGGAGCCCAGTGCAAAATGCTTTGACTCTGAGTAGCCCAGGATCAGATCTTACAGGAGCCTACATTTTTATTTTATAGTATATCCTAAGGGCAGTGGGAAAGCACTGAAGGTTTTTAAGGGGGTGGGAGGGGAGAGAAGGGCCTGGATGGGTGAAATACTATCCTTGCTCTGGCTGTGTGTGTGTGTGTGTGTGTGTGTGTGTGTGTGTGTATGTGGAGAACAGATTAGAGGGGAGAGAGCAGTGCCCTACCCATCCCAGTTAGACAGTTGATTAGACTAGGGTGGTGGCAGTGGGGATGAGTTCAAAAGATCATTATTAGGAGATGGAATCAAAAGGATTGATGATGCGGCCCTAACCGGTTTGGCTCAGTGAATGGCGCATCGGCCTGCGGATTGAAGGGTCCCAGGTTCGATTCTGGTCAAGGGCATGTATCTTGATTACGGGCACATCCCCCGTGGGGGGTGTGCAGGAGGCAGCTGATCGATGTCTCTCTCATGGATATTTCTAACTCTCCATCTCCCTTCCTCTCTGTAAAAAATCAATGAAATATATATATATTTTTTTAAAGTACTGATGATGCGGAGGGCTCAAAGGTGGTTCCAAGTCATCGGTGACCTTCTGAGAGCTGGGATGAGCCTGGCAGAGAGACTGAAGCAATTGAAGAGAACATGAAGTGAGAGAGAGAAGCAAAGAAAGCAGACAAGTTCAAAACTGGAGAAGTTTGGCTGTGCAGGGATGAGAGGACAGTAATTCAGGAGATGAGGGCGAGAAGCCAGAGGAGAGGTCTGGACATTTGGGGAGAATAGAGGACTTGAATAATCCTCATGGACATGGAAAGGCATGTTGCCAAAGAAGCAGCATGAGCTGGCCAGGCAGTGTCACGTGCCTGTTTGAGGTTCGAGGTTATGAGTTTATAATAGAAGCAACTGTCCCGGGGAGGAAAGGCTCAAGTCATGTGGAGGTGAATTTAAAATCCAGCTCTCGTACAGCCTTAGTACACCTGTATGAAGATAAACTGATTCGGGCTGCCTGGAGATTTAAGCCAAACAGGAGTTGAAAACCAGGGACAGATTAAATGTCCTCGTTTCTCTTGTCCTAGGTCGGGACTTCTCTCATGATGATACTTTGGATGTCCCAACACAAGTGGAGCTGCTCATCAAACAAGCCACATCCCACGAAAACCTCTGCCAGTGCTACATTGGCTGGTGAGTAGGCGTCTCTAAGTACATGCGCAGTTGCACATGCGCAGTTACCCATGAAGTGTAATCATTGTTTCATGTCTCTTTAAAAGTTGTATTCACTGTGTGTGCTGTTGCTCTAAAAAGAAGAAAATTTTTTTAAAAGGATATATATTTGAAAGGCAAACACCAAAATAAGTTAAAAGTACATTTAACATGGTTTAGAAAAGAAGCCTCCTTATTTTCATGGGGTGGAGGGATCTTTTTGGACTTTTGCTGTCAGTTCTGAAATACAGGAAGGGCAAAGAAAAAAGAAACCAGAGAGTGACAGAGAAGATGAAAAGACACATCTATGATCTGGGATTGTAACGTCAAGGACCACTTGGGTCTGCTCTGATGGATTGCCTGAGGCACGCTTGAAGGGAGAGATGAGAGAGGGCGATAGGGAAGTGTTCTGGGAGCACAGCCGGCTCGGCATTGGCTGGGAAAGATGAGCGTGTTCTACACAATTAGTGTGGGAGATCTCAGGCACTGTCCCAGGGGTCGTCAGACCTTGGTCTTTCCGTTGTCAGTTATCTGTGAAAAGCTTTGAAGAGCCCAAATTATTAAAATATTCCTTTTCTTTCTGTCTTCTTAGGTGTCCTTTCTGGTAATTGGAGGCCCAGACGTGCCCACAGCATTTCCTCTTGAGCCTTTTGTACTTTGGTATATGCTTCCACTAAGCTGACACAGTGGTCAGAAGTTCAGTTTTGTTAAATATTTCAAAATGTAAATGAAAAAAAAACAAAACTACTGTATATTAAGAGTTGGTTTAACCAACTTTCTAGCTGCTGTTGAAGAATATATTGTTGAAACACAGGCTTGATTTGGTTCCCAGGACAGTGATCCTACAGAAATCAAGCCATTGATTTTGGGGAACAGAAGATCATAACTTAAGAATTACGGGTTTTGACTTCACTCACAACTCATCGTAAGCGTTTGCTGATAGCAGAGTGGCCTACTCTTTCCTGTCAACATGCACACAGCAAACTCAGCGCAGTCCAGAAACTTCGGATCAAGGAGGACGCATCCTAGGATTCTGGACTGGAAGGAAGTGGGAGGAGCCCACTTCATCACTCACCCATCCCATTACCTCACTGGTCCAGCAACAGCATTTGCAAGGTGGACCAAAATGTGTGGGAAAGTTCTGTCTTCTGCCTCACCTGTGATGCTGCGATGCAACACTTTAGTCCAAGACCCAGACCACTCACTAGGATGGGGGTTTCTTCAGAATGCTGGCGGCCTCGGCTGAGCACAAGCACAGAAGGGACACCGTGCAGAGGAGTGGCCCACATGGTTCTGGGTGTGTCTAGTGAGGTCTGATGCTCTGTGTTTAGAGGAGGGGCTTGGAAAACAAGTGATGTCATGGAGGTACTGAGCACAGAGGGGAGGCCTCACCTCCAACATGTTGGAAATGATGAGCAAAAGAAACATTTAAGTGCACAAAGTATAAAGTGTACCATGTCTAGACTCCATGTTGTATCAGAATAATTTTTGTGCCAATAAATGACATCAGAGTTTTAAAAACGTGTATGAATAACTTTTTTTTTTTTTTTGCTTTTTCCCCTTTTGCTGTTGTTATTGTTGTTTTTGCTTTTTCCTTTGTTTTTTTGTATGAATGGCTTTTTATTTATAATTATTCATAAAGAAAGCAATTATTCCTCCAACATTCATTAAGCAGTTAGTACTAGGAACTATGAAAGACTCCAGATCCACGTGACCTGGCCCCTTTCCTCAGACTGTTTACCAGGCCGGAGTGAACCATAACCGCCATGCTAAGTGGTGAGGAGAGCCACGTAGAGGGTGTGAGCTACAGGTGGGCTCTGAATTCACTGATTGCACTGGGCGGTGAGCCATGAAAGGCATGGAAAGGGTGCATTTGCCAAGGGTCTTCAAGGATGAGCATGAACTGTCAGAGGAAGCAACTGGGGACATTCTCAGCAGAAAACGGGTGCAAAAATAGCAAGTTTTTGTTGTTAATCCTCACCAGAGGATATTTTTCCATTGGTTTTTAAAGAAAGTGGAAGATGAGGGGGTGAAAGAGAGAAACATCGATGTGAAAGAGACACATCGATTGGCTGCCTCTGCATCCTGACCAGCGCTGGGGATTGAGCATGTAACAGAGGTGTGGCCTTTGACTAGAATCAAACCTGGGACCCTTCAGTCTGCAGACCAATGCTCTAGCCACTGAGAAAACTGGTTAGGGGCAGAAATGGCAAATAACGAGTTATATTAGATTGCACATATGAGCCATGTTGATACATAAAAGGGCCGTTTCACACAGTTGAACCTCATAGTTCAGCACAGCTGCTTCAGTGGCCAGTGGGGAATAAAATGACTAATAGGAAAAGGAATAATAGGCACTAAAGTGAGGCTAGAAGTACCATGGGCAAGCCTGGCCTGCCTCACAGTTCAACAGCCAGGAGGTGATGCTGTGGACAACAGAACCATGTGAGGCTTTAAAACGGAGGTAGAATCTGAGTCTATTTCCTCTGAAAGCGCAGATAATAGTAGGATCTACCCCATAAGGTTGTTTTGAGGGTGAAGTAGCCCATGTAAAGCATGCAGTGCAGCTTAACACATGGCATTAGATTGAACCATGTGAAATAAGTGCTCAAAAATATTGCTAAAATGGATTAGACTAGGCCTTTGTTCTGCCAGGGTACACAGTTGGGGGAAGGGGGACAGTGAAAAACAAGTATCCTGTTAATAGGATATCCTGAATACTTAATGAACACTTAATGAATTGTATTAAGGAGGCCCTGGCCTTGGAAATCAGATACACCCACAGAGCTTCCAAACCCATCTCCTGAGCTGCCTAGTAGTGCCTCCCTCATAACAAGAGCTCTTCCAGACATTCAGCAAGTGCTCTGAGTTCCCACTGTGCGCCTAAGCAAGTGGCTCCAGCGGGGTAGATGGGGAGGAACATGTGACTGGAGGAGTTGGAGGCATTGCAAGTAGCATATAGATAGATGCCCTTTCCAGTGCTTCAGGAAACAGCTGATGCAGAGAGGGGATGACTGCAGGAGCCAAGACCCAGAGCATGAAACGGGCACAACCAGAGCTGGGGAGGAGCTAGCTTTAAACCTAAGGATAGCCGAAACCGGTTTGGCTCAGTGGTGGAGCGTCGGTCTGCGGACTGAAGGGTCCCAGGTTCGATTCCGGTCAGGAGCATGTACGTTGGCTGCGGGCACATCCCCCGTAGGGGGTGTGCAAGAGGCAGCTGGTCGATGTTTCTCTCTCATCGATGTTTCTAGCTCTATCTCTCTCCCTTCCTCTGTGTAAAAAATCAATAAAAATATATTTTTAAACCTAAGGATAACCTTGGCTGTTTTGCTCAGTGGTTAAGTGTCCACTGAGGGTTGGATCCCTAGTCAAGGGCACATACCTGGGTTGCAGGTTCCATCCCCGGACCCAGGATGGGCGCATGTGGAAGGGAACCAATCAATGTGTCTCACATCGATGTTCCTCCCTTTCTCTCTCTCTAGAGAGCAATGGAAAAATCATACTCGGGTGAGAATTAAAAGCAAACAATAAATATGAGGGTAGTTGGGTCCTACGGGTCTCACACTAAATCACTGGGTTGATGGGATGATAAAATATGGGGGTTAAAAAAAAAAAAAAAAAGTAAAGTTCACTACGTGGAGAGCGCAGGGATGACAGCCCCAACTCACTCCTAACCCCCGCCCCTTTGCACATGCGCGGTGCGCCCGGGTCGCGTCGGCCGCGTCACTCTCGCGAGAAGAGCCATGCAGGCATTAAAGATGGCGCCTCCCAGTCCCGCGGAGTCTAAGGCCCCATCCCCGTCGAGCGCGGCCAAGTCCGAGGAGGAGATGGTGCTGCCGGGGTTTCCGGACGCGGACAGTTTCGTGAAGGTGAGTCCGCGGGGCCTCGGGAAGGGGTTGGGGGAGCACGGGAGCCCCCCGCGGCCGGTGAGGAGTGGGCCCGGCCCTCTGGGCGGCCGCCCCCCCCCCCCCCCGGCGGCGCGCACCTCAGCGGAGTCCCAGCGCCAGACTCAGCCTCTCACTACATCTTCCGGGGAGGGGGTCTCACGCGGGCCGCTGAGGGTCGCCCCGCTCCCCAGAGCCCTCGCTCTCCCAGGAGAGCCCTCTCCACAGGGCTTCCTTGTCACCCCGATGTCCCAGCCCTCGGATCTCGCCCCCGCGCCGCCTGAGACACTCAGCCAGCCAGCTGTCCGGGGGCTTGGCTGCCGATGTCTCCCACGCCTGCCCGCATCCTCTCCTGCACCAGGGCCTGCACCCCTCCCCTCTCCCGGGCTCCGGGGCTGCCTCACCCCAAAACCCGGGCTCACTGGCACCTGTTACTGCTGCCCCCGAATCTTCCTCCTCTGGGCACCATGGAACACTGACCATGCCTTCTCCAAGGAACACAGAGCGGGCTCATGTAAATGATTGGTGCGATGCTGCTCCACTAGGAACGAACATAAAACCAGGTTTAAACGCCTCCTGCAGGGCTCTTACAAAACCGTGGGACTAAAATGATCTGTAAGTTAGCACTACACGTTCCCCAGAACTCCACCCACGTTATAGCCACTTTATTTTTAGCAGATGCTATTATTAACTCATTTATTTGGCTTTGAGTAAGTTCCTGGACCTCTAGCCATGGTCCTGATGGGGAGCTTTCAGGCTCACCAGGGGCCGCGTACCCCAACGTGAGTTAAGCTCCCACTTCCTCCATCTTTTTCTTTTTAATATTGATTTTTATTGATTTCAGAGAGAGGAAGGGAGAGGGAGAGAGAGATAGAAACATCAATAATGAGAGAATTATTGAGCCGCTGCCTCCTGCACGCCCTCTGCTGGGGATGGAGCCCATAACCTTTGACCCAGTCGAACCCAGGACCCTTCTGTCCACAGGTCGATGCTCTATCCACTGAACCAAACCAGCGAGGGCTCTCTTTTCTTTCTTGGGAAACATCTATTTCACAACTCACAATGAAGTCATTTGCATTATCTATGCATAGCAGTGTCAGGATTTTCCTCTCATTATCACACAATTAAAATAGAGGACTGCTTGGCAAGAACTGAACCATAAACAGAAGTCCAGTTGTAGGCAGTAGCCATTACCAGTTGGTCATCCAAAAGATCTAGACTATGCTTTTACTGGTTTTAAATGCTTAGTGATCCTAAGTTATTTTATGAGTTTTTGTAATCTTCTCAACAACTTAAGGGGTAGGCACTTTTATGATGCCTGTTTTTCAAAGGAGGAAGCTAAGGTCCAAATAAATGAAATAACTTACTCAAGATCGCAGTTAGTAGGTGGCAGAGTCAAGATTGAAACCCAGGCCGTTTTGAATACTAGCATACTAGTATTATATATGTACTAGAGGCCCAGTGCACGGAATTCGTGCACGGATAGGGTCCCTAGCAACTGCTGGTGCCTGGTGGGGGCCTTTCTTTGTCCCCCGCCACCCCCTGGTGGTCAATACACGTCATAGCGAGTGATGGAACTCCCCATTGGTTGAACTCCAGAGGGGACACTTTGCATATTAGGCTTATAGATAGGTGATAGATAGATTTGTTCTTTCATTCCCCACTCTCCCAAGAATGTAAGCTCCAGAACTTGGTTTCGTGTTCACCATTGTATCCTGAGAGCCTGGGGTAAAATCAACACCAAGTGAATATTTATGAGATTGTATGTCTTCATCATCGAGCACAGGTGTGGGCACTGTAAGTCCCTCAAAATCATTTGGTCTGGCCCTGCCAAGGCATCAGTAGAGAGTTAATTAAATGTTTGACCAAATATAGCAGACTAATTTTTAAGTTGATTGTTTTGATGACCCACAAATGATGTCCAAAAGGCCCTTGGCGGGAGAAAGGTTCCCCATCCTGATCTAGCACAATGTGTTGTATGTAGTAGATGTTTAAAACATGCTTGTTTTTCTGGTTTTTGGCAGTTTGCTCTTGGGTCAGTAGTGGCTGTCACCAAGGCATCTGGGGGCCTACCACAGTTTGGCGATGAGTATGATTTCTACCGAAGTTTTCCTGGCTTCCAGGTATTTTGTGAGACACAGGGCGACAGGTTGCTTCAGTGGTAAGTACTAAATACTGTTGTTGTTTTTCACGTTTAAAGAAATGGATATAGTTTTTTGAAATGTGTGTGGGTTTTATTTACCACAATTTCCTGTGCTATAAAAAGCTCTGAAGTATAAAAATGATACAGTGGATTTTGATTTTATATAGGACATGAAAACCTGGATTCAGGCCGAAACCGGTTTGGCTCAGTGGATAGAGCGTCAGCTTGCGGACTGAAAGGTCCTGGGTTTGATTCTGGTCAAGGGCATGTACCTTGGTTGCAGGCACATCCCCAGTAGGGTGTGCAAGAGGCAACTGATCGATGTTTCTCTCTCATCAATGTTTCTAACTCTCTATCCCTCTCTCTTCCTTTCTGTAAAAAATCAATAATATATATATATATTTTTAAACCACCTGGATTCAGGATTCTTTCGCACAAGTGAAAGAGTCACATCATTTAGCTTTCTGATAAGATTTTAGGACAGACGATATACAAACACTGGTCTAGCTGTTGCATGACACATTTAGAAAATGTTTTAAATTTTATGTTAAAACAATGACTGCAGAATACATTATTTACATTTTTTACAGTATATCCATACATTATTTACAGTATATCCATATATTTTTTAGAATTCAAAGGCAGCTTTGAGGTAATTTCTTCCAACTTTTCAGTTAAAAGATGAGTCTTAGCGAGATGTAGTGAATTTCCCAAGGCCACACAATGTTTTTGTTTTGTTTTTTATTTTTAGGAAGAGAGAGAAAGAGAAACATCTATGTGAGAGCAGAATTCAGTCAGCTGCCGTCTCCATGTCCCCTACAGGGGATTGAGCCCACAACCTGGGCATGTGCCCTGACCAGGAATGGAATCAGCAACCTTTCAGTGCATTGGGTGATGCTCAACCAACTGAGCCACACTGGGCAGGGCCACAAAGTTTTGTTTTGTTTTTGTTTTTTTAAATATACTTTATTCATTTTTCACAGAGAGGCAGGGAGAGGGATAGAAAGCCAGAAACATCGATGAGAGAGAAACATCGATCAGCTGCCTCCTGCATACCCCCCGCCGAGGATGTGCCCGCAACCAAGGCACATGCCCCTGACCGGAATCGAATCCGGGACCCTTGAGTCCACAGGCCGATGCTATATCCACCGAGCCAAACCAGCCCTGGCCACAATGTTTTTAATAAGAGTGCAAGTTTTATTAGTTCAATCATAAGGTATTAGAAATAGTCTGAGCCAAGCCTTTCAAGCTTTCTCTAAGACTGTAAACAAATGAATAAAAGTATACAAACTCATCTTGGTTTTCTTGTCCTTAGCATGAGCAAGGTAATGCAGTACCATGGATGTCGAAGCAACATTAAAGATAGAAATAAAGTGACTGAGTTGGAGGACAAGTTTGATTTACTAGTTGATACCAATGATGTTATTCTGGAAAGAGTGGTGAGTATTGCACCTTACTCTTAAGATAACTAACAAATAAAGAGCTTTTATATTATTAGAAAATGAAAAGAAAAACAACAGGCGCCTTAGGAAATGAAAAGAAAGTTGAGCGTTCCTTGCCTCTATATTCCTTTCTTCTTTTAGTTGGCTTTCCCCCACCCTAAGAAATATTGCAATTGTGTTCAAGTATATCCCTTCAAACTCATGCCCAGAAGAACCCTATTTTTAAAGTGCCTTATTATAAACCTACCTTCCAGATTTGCAAATCTTGTTTGTATTGTAAGAGAAGTCTCTGGATGCAAAGTCCAACCAAAACTCTCTTTTTACTGTTATTCACAATCTGCTAAACACTCGGACTCACCTGATTGGAAGGGTATGTGGATCATTGATCTAGCTTACTGCCTTGACACAGAATTCTACAGCAGAATATTATTTACAAAAATACACAGAGATTATCCAAAACAGATGTAGCCCTGTGAAGGTGCTGCAGACATTTAAATCAGACTCTCATGTCCTATGATATCCTCTCTTCCATAGCCTGAATGCCCACAGGTACTTCCGTGGTTTCTCGCGTCTTCTGATTTCATGTCCCGCCATGCTACCATTTGTCACCTGGGTGCACTTTTGTTAGTGGTGCCCCAGCTAATAGCCCGCATCTGCTTCCACAGTACAAAGTAGGTCAGGACACGCTTCCCCTCATTGCAAGCACCGTCCTGGATTTATTATTTGCAGCCTAGGGTCTTTTTAATTATTTTGGCGGGCCAAAATCAGCTTTAAATCAGCTTTGAAATTTCAGCCCAATTCAGCACTGTAAAAAGAGTTGAACAGGGGGGCAATGGTAAAATATGTACACAGGTAATAATTTAATAAAATAAAAAAAATAAGTTGAACAAGGATCGGGAGTGGCTGATTTCTGCCCTGTCTTTGAACAGATAATGCTTTAAATGTCTGCTCTTAGCCAAAATCCGTTTGGCTCAGTTGAAAAGTCCCAGGTTCGATGCCTGTCAAGGGCATGTACATTGGTTGCGGGCACATCTCCAGTAGTGGGTGTGCAAGAAGCAGCTGATTGATGATTCTCTCTCATTGATGTTTCTAACTCTCTATCCCTCTCCCTTCCTCTCTGTAAAAAATCAATAAAATCTATTAAAAAACAAAAACAAAAAAAAAACTATAATTGTCTGCTCTTATATATATCTATTCTCACATATAAGTCTCTGAATATGGCTCTTAAACTTTTAGGTAATTAACTCTGTTAACCCTGAAAAGAAGATACTGAGCTAATATAATATCTCTTCCCCTCTTAGGGTATTTTACTGGATGAAGCATCAGGTGTGAATAAGAATCAACAGCCTGTCCTCCCCACAGGACTACAGGTCCCCAAGACAATCGTGTCCAGCTGGAACCGTAAGGTGAGGGCTTCTCTCCCATTGACTGCAGCATCTGATGTCAGCTTTTGCTTATTCTGGTTTGCATTTCTATTCTATTTTGTTGGATGCAGAACTGGCCACTGCCTCCTCATTCTCATAAACAGATGTACCTTTATTACACCCTCTTCTCTACTTTGCACACCACCCTACTCCTCTCCCCAGAGTCTCACACCCACATTCATTTTCCCCCCCACACATTCTTTAAATGAATGACTCTTGGAAGGCATAAATTGGAATTTATTCTTCTAATTCATTGAGTTGCTGTGTTATAAAGTATTGTATTCGTTGATCCTAGGCAGGAGAATATAGCAAAAAAACAAAATCTGAAACTTTCCGGCTGCTTCATGCAAAAAACATCATCCGACCTCAGCTTAAATTCCGAGAGAAGATTGACAATTCCAACACTCCATTTCGTCCTAAAATCTTCATCAAGCCCAATGCCCAGAAACCCCTCCCTCAGGGTAAGTAGCGCACACTCCGCCTAACAAAACTAGCAAAAGGGAAAAGGTCGCCCTCCCACGGTCCTTTCTTCAAAGGGAGCCAGTAACCCTCCACCCCTCGCCAGGTGCAAATGTGCCTGACTTTGTGGTGTGTCACTGCTTGGGTCCCCAGCGCTCTCCAGAGAAAGGCGGGAGTGCCCGCAGGATCGCCCTGAGGACTTGGATGTCCCGGCTGCTCTGGCAGATTTCATTCATCAGCAGAGAACGCAGCAGGTGGAGCAGGACATGTAAGTGTTTGCCTCTCGGAACTTTACGCCACATTCGCATTGCTGTTTTTAATTGAATTTATTGGGGTAACATTGGTTAATAAAATTATATAGGTCTCATCTATATATTGAATTTCTATATCACATGTTCTTGTGTCAAACTTATGCTATGCCACATTTTCACTCGGCTTTACTTTTGTAAAATGACTAAATGGACACAAAGAATTTTTCGCCTTCTCTCCCGTTTGTGTTTGCGGAGGGCCTGCCGGCACCGGCCTTTGTGGCCCTCGATGCCGTCCTGTGAGGGGGCAGCGGCTCCCCTCGCCATTGTACGGATGTGGAAACAGAATTAGAGATGCTGACTTCACACAGAACTTTGGCCCAAGTTTTCTTAAATTGTTCTTTCTTTGTATCACTGATTCGAGCAGTAAGCTAAGGTTCACTAATAAATTAAGGAAAAGGCGTTTTTCACTGGCAGAATAAGCATTGTGGAAAACCTTTGCTTAAAACAGACAAGAGGACTTTGTCCTCAGAATAAAGGAAGGTGATTAAAACTGTTAGTATTGGTCTTTTTCTCACACATAGCCAGTGTGTCTGGGCACTCCATCAGCCCTAGCTTTCTTTTGTGAGGCCACAGGTTAAGTGCTAAAGAAATGAAGGTAGCCGAAACCGGTTTGGCTCAGTGGTAGAGCGTCGGTCTGCAGACTGAAGGTCCCAGGTTCGATTCCGGTCAAGGGCATGTACATTAGTTGCGGGCACATCCCCGGTAGGGGGTATGCAAGAGGCAGCTGGTCAGTGTTTCTCTCATCGATGTTTCTAGCTCTCTATCTCTCTCCCTTCCTCTCTGTAAAAAAAAATCAATAAAATACAAAAAAAAAAAAAAAAGAAGGTAATGAGAGGCGGCCCTGCCCACAGGAGCCCAGAACCTCGGGATTTTCACACAAGAAGATGGTGGAAGAACAGAAAAAAGACATCATTTGATACACAACCATATTTGCCCCACCCTCTCTCTTCACAACTTGGTTATTCCAAACTACAAGGAATTAGATACTTTGCATTTTAGTATCATCCACAACACCGGCCATACAATTCTTTGCAAATAAATGCTTAACTCTTTTTAATAGATTTAATTGTCCTACTTTAAGGACAAGCAAGTATCACCTGAAATTTTTTTTTTTTTAATGCACTTCAGTTATCATTGAAATAATGATGTTTTTGCCCAGCCAGTGTGACTCAGTGGTTGAGCATCAACCTATGAACCAAGAGGTCTCTGATTCCTTTCCCATTCAGGGCACATTCCTGGGTTGTGAGTTCATTCCCCAGTAGGGGGCGTGCAGGAGGCAACTAATTGATGTTTCTGTTTCTCCCTTCTCTCCTTTCCTCTCTCTCAAAACAATTAAAAACATGTTTTAAAAAGAGAAATAATGATGCTTTTTATATAGAGGAAATATTTTCACAATGGTCTTTTTTTTCCGTTTGTTTTTACAAATTAGAGTAAAACAGTTTTACCTTGAACCATGGAATTAGTAAAAAAAAAGATTTTGTTTGTTTGTTTTATTTACTCAGGTTTGCACACCCTTATCAATACGAACTAGATCACTTCACTCCACCGGATTCAGTCCTTCAAAAGCCACAACCCCAGGTTAGCACCCAACTTACCTTATGGCTGGTATCTGAGTAGCCCAGGAAGAATCAAACGAGATTAGCTGGTACAATTTTGGCTTTCCCTAAATATCTTTAAAATAGTAGATTATGGCTTTGTATCAGTTATTGAACTCTTAATTCATTGTGAACTTTAGTGAAGAATGATTCTTAACATTACTGTCTTTCCCTGCCTGGACTTTTGTGACCAGTTATATAGGCCTGTGGGAGAAACACCCTGCCATTTCGTGTCTTCCCTGGATGAACTAGTGGAACTCAACGAGAAGCTCCTGAAGTGTCAAGAATTTGCAATAGACTTGGAGGTAATTTGTAAATGGCTTGGAGTGAAATTTTTACATTTTCTGTGAGCTCACCTACTCGAGGAATATAAAATTAATACTAATTTAAATCTATGCTTTGGTAAAAAGTAACTAATCCTACAACTGTGTTTCATGCCGACTGTTCAGAATCAGTAGAGGAGCGCCTAGTAAAATCCGTTTTTCCGGTTCTTCCTTCTTCCCGTGTGTTTTAGCACCATTCTTACAGGAGCTTCCTGGGGCTGACCTGCCTCATGCAGATTTCCACCCGGACAGAAGACTTCATTGTGGACACTCTGGAGCTGCGAAGTGACATGTACATTCTCAACGAGAGCCTCACGGACCCAGCTATTGTCAAGGTCAGCCAGCCTTTCTCAGCTCCTGCCTGTAAGCGCAAGACTTAAGTGCTTTTCCGTTTACTACTTTATTATTTCAACATAGGCCCAATAAAATTGAGAGAAATTGTTGTAATTTCCTACACTAGGGTACCACACACTGAACTGCTTTTGTTTCTAAACCTCTGATAGAACAGCTAAGACTTACCTCATTACCACGCAGAAAAATGTTAAATCATTTTAATGACTACGGCAATGAGCCTGTGCCATCAAGATTGTTTGAACTTAATGACTACCCTTGAAGCAAGCAGAGCCGCTTTCTTAGAATCATTAGCTGTTAGCAGACTTTTAAGAGTGTGCAATTAGGAGTGTAGAAGGCTGGGGCCCAAATTAAAAGAAGCATTTAGAACTCAAACCATCTTCATCTTCCTTCTGGCTTCTAATTCCAGTGTTCTGATAACCTAGAGGCAGAGTTCACGTCAGAGCACAGGGGTCTCTACACAGGGTGTGCATGGCTCCGGCTTTGTTTGCAGGTCTTCCATGGTGCTGACTCAGACATAGAATGGCTGCAGAAGGACTTCGGGCTGTACGTCGTGAACATGTTTGATACCCATCAGGCGGCGCGCCTTCTTAACCTGGGCCGGCACTCGCTCGACCATCTGCTGAAACACTACTGCAATGTGGAATCCAACAAGCAGTACCAGCTGGCTGACTGGAGGATACGGTCAGTTTGCTCCTGACGAGGAAATGTGGGTGTAGAAGAGAGTGGGTGTTCGTTAACCTGTGTTCAGCCTCTAACACTGTTTGAGTCTTGAGTTGAACTGTTTCCATTGGCATAAGTGAAACTGGAATTGTAGGCTTGTGCAGGGCTGTGTTACACTCTGCTCCATGGAAGAGTGGTTGAAAGAGATGTGCCATGTCAGCATTTGTCCATGACATCTCATCTGAACTCAGATCTCCTAATAGGGGTGGTTGTATATGTGTGAGATGACCTCCCACAGGCATGAGAGTGCTAAGGCATGTGGTTGAGCCTGGCCAGGCTGCTCAGTTGGTTAGAGCGTTATCCCAATAGGCCAAGGTTTCAGGTTTGATCCCTGGGCCGGTTACATGCAAAAATCAGCAAATGTATGTATACATAAGTGAAACAACAAATCAATGTTTCTTCTTTCCTCTCTAAAGCCAATTAAAAAATAATAAGTCAATAATTAAAAGTTTAAAAAGTAAAGATAGCCTTATAAGAAGTGTTTACTATAGAATAGGGTTGTGATGGCATCCTGCCACATTTTTTGGAATTCTTGCTCAGCTTGATTCTTTCCAGGTGACTAGCTTTCTCTGTAAGCTTGCAGGGCTGTTGTATGAAGAAGCCACTAAACTTCTCTCCAGTTCTGCATGTCAAAATTTATAAAGAGAACCTAAAGTCTGAATAAAACGTGAAAATTGACGAAATCTAAATGCCATTACCTGCTAGTTAACCCTTGCCATGTGCCATACACCAAGCCAGGAACTTGAGGGATGTTGTCTTGTATGATCCTCACATTAGCCTACGAGAGGGGCCTTTCCATTTTATAGGTCTGGAAAGTGAGCTCAGAGAGCTTAGGTGACTTATGCAGGTCAGATATCTGGAGCTAAGACTCAAACTCAGGTAACAAAGCCCTTATTTTCAACATCATTGTCTTGCCGCCCTTCCTACCCTGCTGTGAAGCAGTGGCCTGTCCTTAGCTGTGAGGGAATCTGACAGCAGAGGGGGCCAAGCGAGTCTGAGCACCCACCGAGCAGACACGTGCTGCTGCTGCTGCTGAGGGAAATGAGTGAAAGCTTCCTCTGTTGCGATTCCAGACCTCTGCCCGAGGAAATGCTGAACTACGCGCGGGACGACACCCATTACCTGCTTTACATCTATGATAAGATGAGGCTGGAGCTGTGGGAGCGAGGCAACGGCCAGCCCGCCCAGCTGCAGGTGGTGTGGCAGCGCAGCAGGGACATCTGCCTCAAGGTAAGGCCACGGGCAGGCGAACCCAACTTCCTTTCTGCTGACGTCCCAGTTCTTTCCTTGCGCTTCACATTTATGAAGAGAGCCAAACGTTTGAAGAGCCCAGAGCACAGTTGTTGTTGTTTTTTTCTTTATTATTGGAAATATTACATATGTCCCCTTTTTTCTCCAATTGGCCCTTTCTAGCCACCACCATTTCCTCCACCACCACCACCACCCCCGCAGGCTTTCACCACCAGGGCACAATTTTGATCGTGAATATTGTGAAACATTTTGCAGAAATTCATCAAACCTATCTTCACGGATGAGTCCTACCTTGAACTGTATAGGAAGCAAAAGAAGCATCTCAACACGCAGCAGCTGACAGCCTTCCAGCTCCTGTTTGCCTGGCGGGACAAAACCGCGCGGAGGGAAGATGAAAGCTATGGGTAAGGGATTGGAGATTCTTCTATTTATTTTTTCTTTCTTTCTTTCTTTTTTAAAGAGATTCTTTTAACATTTCTCTTACGGACTTTTTCTCTTTTTGCCATGAAAACTGGTTACATTTTCCCCTGGGTGATAGCATTTAATGGAACTTGCTGGCTGAACTTGATGTAATTCACCCATTGTGTGTTTCTTTCCAGATACGTACTGCCAAACCACATGATGCTAAAGATAGCTGAAGAGCTGCCTAAGTGAGTCTGAGCACCTAAGAACATGTTCCGACTTTCTCAGCAGAGAATGTTGTCCTTCAAAAGCAAGCTTCTGTGATTGATTCCCTCGAGGCTGACTCAGAGATTGGCCTCTAAGAAGTGCTCCATCCAGGAATGGAGAGCTTCTGCCCTCGGGCTGCCATTCCAGAGCTGAAACTTCTGAACCGGAACGTTTCAGTGGTTGTGCCTTATGCTGAGTCCCGTGTTGCCTCTGAGTCTGTGGCATCGGCACCCACTTTCAAGGGATTCTCTCCAGACTAAGGCGCCTCATGGTTTTAAATGTCTTATGATCTCAATTGAAGAACAAGCACAGAATCTAAATCCATAATCTTCTCATCCCGTTGTGGGTCTGCAGATCAGCAGGCCGTGGTCCTCTCTGCTGGCCTGGGAGCAGGAGGCCGGCTGTAAGCACCTGCTCCAGGCTGGTGCTGCGGAGTGTGTGGGAGCAGCTAGCCTGCTTCCCTGCCATCGGGGTTTTCTTAGTCTCCCCTGTGCCGTGGCGCTCTGGCCCGCCCTGATCATCCTCTTGTCTGGAAGCCTTTGAGGGCTGTGTTCCTAAGTAGTGAGCTGTGTGTTCTTGTCTTCAGGGAACCTCAGGGCATCATAGCTTGCTGCAACCCTGTCCCCCCTCTCGTACGGCAACAAATCAACGAGATGCATCTTCTAATCCAGCAAGCTCGGGACATGCCCCTGCTGAAGGTAAGAGCCTTTCTGCTGAGATTCCCACGTCCGCAGGCCTGTTCTGTCTGTCAGCGTCTGCTCCTGGTGGTCTCCTACATAAAAGAGCTCTTCATTCTAAAAATGGCTTACAAAATCCAGTGGGCGTGTCTTTTTTATGATAGTCACTGCAAAAGCTTATCCTTCTCAGGACCTTATTTCTGATGATCTAACAACAAGTAATGTCTAGTGACTGGGCTGGTTTCCTGTTGGGAGGCAGTTAACCTCATGAATAAGATGGAGGAGGCTCAGATGTGAGTGATAGTGCCCTGATGAGGATGGTGGTCACAAACAGGAAGGGAAAGGGCAGGGACAAGAAGCACCATGAGAAGAAAAGTGATGTTGAAAACAGCTGCCGTTTCTCTCAGCGCTGCGCTAAGGACTGCCGAGTGCTCTCTGAATGGTGGGTGGACTTGGGTATAATGGAAGAGGAGTCAAAGACAGCTCACCCCAAACCTGAAGCCAGGGGACGAGGACGCTAGGAGAATGGGGGGGTTCCAAAAGAGCTGCTGTGTGTGCGTGTGCTGCTCAGGTGCCAGTGTGTGCGCGCTCCTGTGTTCCTGTTCGCGTAGGTTTGCATATTTGATCTGTGTTGTGTTGGAACAGTTAATGTGTTACCTCAGTAGCATTTTCAATATGTACTAAATCATGTTTGTAAGTTTTTGGACGATCATTGATTCAGGAAGACTTAGAATCAGCTCCCTGGAGGTGAGAAAGAAGAGACCCTGAAGATAAGCACATTGGCAGTGTCATGTTATTAGTAAAACGTCTTAGCTCCACACTTTGTTCAGTAAAGAGAGAAACTCTGGTTCCTGGAGAAGAATCTTCTCAGGCTCTTTGGAAATTACTCTGTGCCTCTTCATGATCCAGGGCCTAGTCTTCCGTTCTCAGATAGTGGTGGGCACTTAGCAGTGACAGTGATGGATGAAGGGCTGAAGGAAACCTCTGTCTGGGCTCTTGGAAAACACAGTCTAGTGAAGGGACACAGTCTGTGCTGAGGAACACGTGTGTGTGGCATCGAGTTCAGCCACTTTCCTAATTCTCTGTTTCTCCCATGTAGTCTGAAGTAGCGGCTGGGGTAAAGAGGAGTGGACCGCTGCCCAATCCTGAGGTACAGTGACGTGTCTGCTGTCTCACCCCCTGGGAGGAGAGAGGTCCAAGCCAGTGCAAAACAAATGTCCTGCCGGGCCGGCGCCTCACACTGGCGGGAGCGCCTGCGTGCTGGCAGGCGTTTCATGGCACCTATTGGTCTCTTTTCGCTGCAGAGATTGGAGAATGTTCTCTTTGGACCTCATGACTGCTCCCACGCCCCTTCAGATGGCTATCCTGTCATCCCAGCCAACGGTAATGTCGAGGCCTCTGGAGTCTGGAGAGGCTGGGAAGCGGGTACATGCCCCGTAGGCTCTGACCATGCTGCCTTCTGTCCCTCTAGGGCCTGTGCCAGTGCAGAAACAGGCAAGCCTTTTCCCTGCAGGAGGAGAGGACGAGGCCCTGCTGGACTCCAAATGCCTTATCGCCACCGCTGTCATCACATTATTCAACGTGAGTCATACAGCAACGTCCACGAGGTGATGCAGACCCGCAGGAATGGACTGGGTTGTATGCCCAGCGGGCTGCTTCCACCTCTGAGACTAATGCCAGCAGTGAGGAGAGGCACGGAGGCAGATCACGAGGTGGTTTGCCTCTCTAGACAAGGGGGTCCGTGAGAGGTGGGTAGAGGAAGCTCCCTGAGTGAGCTCCGTGTGAAGAAAGTCCAAGGAAGGATTGATGCTCACTGATGCCTGGGAGGGAGGAGGGCTTGGGCCAGTGAGGCACAGCAGGACCATTTCCACACTGCCATCGATTCCCGGGGGATGGAGTGAGCTCTGATGAACCGCAGAGTGCCCTGCGCATTCCTCCCTGACCAGTGCCAGCCCACCCAGGTGTGTGTGGGACAGAGAAAACTGACAAGCTTTCCTCTCTGTGGCCCATAGACAGTGAGGAGCGGGACACACAGGCACCAGCAGGTGGGGTGAGATTCATTTTCCCGTTCAGAAGGAGGCTGAGTAGTAGTAGGTGGTGACTCCGTTCAGTCTGCAGACAGGATGGCCAGCCCGGGCCAGGCTGTGCTTCTGGAATGCACACTGGGTTGTGCCAGAGCTTATCCCAGGCTGTCCTACCCAGCAGGCTTCTTGTTCCTGCCAGTGGCTTGGCTACAGGTTCTTTGCAAAGGAAGTGCAAGGTGCCTTTGTTCTTCAGGATGGATGATTCCTGGAATGACCAAGATAAGAGGCTAAAGTTCTCAGTGCTGCAGGCAGCTAGCTGGTGTGGCAGAAAGGAAACAATGATTTCTAGAAAGAGCCAAGAAAGAGAAGCATAGCACAGTCCACTTAGATAGAGACACGTACGAAGCTTAACAAACATTCCGATGACGACAAGCTGCTGGCTCAGCGGGTTTCAGGCTCCCAGTTCACAGCCACGCCGTCACACTGGAATGCTGGGCCAAGGCCAGGAGGGGACACGCCGCCCACAGAGCGTATGCCTGGGAGTTAGCTTTCTGTTCCCTTAATGACATAAACGTAGGTCCGGTCTTGCTTCAGTAATTCATGAGGAAAGAAGTCTGGAAGCTTTAGCTGACCTCAGAGGTAATGAGCTGTCAAGGTGACGAGGCAGCCCACAATGTGAGCGTGCCCTGTGGCTGTGGGAACATGGAGGCGCCCACTCAGGCCGTGCTCTCCCTGCTCTGACAGAGTAAGCAACAGGATAGCACTCGCTTTATGAACCCAGTTGGAAGCAGCAGTCTGCTGCACAGTCACTGATTACTCAGAAAGGTATATAATTACAGGTTCCAGGTAAATGTCGGGTTATGACCTGAAGGTCTAGAGCAGACAGACCTGGGTTTTCACCCTTGTTCTGCCTGTTAGCTCTAAGGCTCTGGAAGTCTGACCTCTCCAAGCCTCAGTTTCTCATCTGGAAGATGGTGAGAATAGCATCACCCACCTCGCAGGTTATAAGGGCTTTTCCAACTGTATATTAAACACTCTACAGGGTGTATGACAAGCTAGTGTAGTGGTTCATACATGGGAGGGGCTCACAGACATAGCCATTACTATTCTCCTGCTTGCATCTTAATGTCACCAGATGATCACAGTTTTAAGTGACTGTTTTCTGTCTGTTTCTGCAGGAACCCAGTGCTGAAGAAAACGGAAAGGCCCCGCTAACAGTCGCACAGAAGAAAGCCCAGAGCATAATGGAGTCCTTTGAAAACCCATTCAGGATGGTAAGTGTTAGTTGTGTGTTAGGGCCGAGAGGGGGTGTTGGTCGGGAAAGGAAGGGGTGCAGGTGTGGGTTGACCCCAGTGTCCGGTGGGGAGCCGAGGCTTCTGACACGAAACCATCAGGAATACCTCCTCTGAGCGCCAGTGAGCTCAGGCCAGGTTGACGCCTTCAGCTGAGGCATCCTGAGATGAAACCGGCCAGGAATCCCCTCCGGGTGCCCTGAAGCCTGGGTCCACATTCCATTTTTTACAGCATTTAACGCGATTGCTTCCATTTCTCCAGTTTCTGCCTTCGATAGAACACCATGCTCACATTTCCCAGGCAGCAAAGTTTGACCCAACATCAAAAATCTATGAAGTAAGTGGATTTGTCATCCTTTCTAAGACTGACTTCCTAAGAAAGGGAGACTCCCTAATTATTTGAACCAAGTTTCTGTTTTAAACAAACCCATCTGCAAACCCCCTGAAAGTGAATGTGAAACCCTTTTTATACCAGCATTTCTCCAGAGGGAAGCTCAGGCCTTTAACCCGGTTCTCGGAGCTTTGGGGAAAGCCCTTTAAGAAGCAGGCCTTTTGGGGGGAGGTTTTGGTTTGTTTTTATTTTTTTGTGCTTTTTTTTTTTTTAAATTGAGGTTTTAATTTATATGTAGTAAAGTGCCCAGATGTTAAATGTACAGCTTTAGGCATTTTTATGTGTGAATATTAATGTAAGGCTCTTAAAGGTGACAGCTTACATTTTAAAACACTCTGTTTTATATTGTTTGGTTTGTTTTTAACAGCATTATGAATAAGAATAAGAAAACACCTTCCCTGGATCCCCATGAGATGTTCCTGGGAGCCAGCGTGTTAATTGTTAACAGCCTTCTTCCTCCCTGCAGGAAGTGCCTGCTCTGATCAGATGGGTGGCCTGGCTCCCTCTGCTCACCAGCACCGCCCGAGAACCAGGCCCATACCCTGATGGGCCGCAGCCCTGTCGCTGGTTGTTAGCTTGTTGTTTTTAGAACGGGGGAGTCAGGCAGAAGTGTTGCCTTCTCTCCTCTTCCCCCTCTGGGTGTGGCACACTCAACACCCCTCCATCCCTTACCGTGCTTACATCTCCCGCCACCTAGATGTGCTCTCAGGCCGCAGGTAAATGTGCTGTCACAGGAGCGCTCGGGCAGACAGACGTCCTGTCTGAGTGCCAGCTCCCCCGTTTACTAACCGTGTGTGTCCCTGCGGACAAGTTACGTAGCTGCTCTGAGCCTCTTGTTCCCAGGACGGTGGAAGGGGTTGAATGATGCTATGAAAGCCTCAGGCCAGGGCCTGGAACAGCTGTATCTTGTCCTTCTTAATGAGTATTATAAATAAAGCCAGCATGAGATTTTATTTTTGTGTCATCAGATCTGGAATTTATGACTTAGAATGTGTGTAGTGACTAGGCTAGCATGCCCTGCATCGCCTCATTAAAAAAATAAAGCATTCCTAGGTGACTGAGTTTTGGAGTTTTTTTGTTTTGTTTTCATTATAGATCAGCAACCGTTGGAAGCTGGCAAGCCAGGTACAGGTACAAAAAGAATCTAAAGAAACTGCCAAGAAGAAGGCAGCTGAGCAAACAGGTAGCCTTCACTTCCTTGCAAACTCAGCCACTCAGGTGTTGGTTAAAGAGTAGCCCTGGTGCATCCTTCTGTCACTCAGTCATTCGACAGAGTGCCAGACACGGCAGTGAACAAGACAGACACAGCCGCTGCCCTGTGGAGCGTGCCTTCTCCTGGGACAGCGGACAATAAACCCCTCACTGTATGTTCTGTCAGATGGCAGTGGGCATTACGCAGAGAGAGAGGTAGGAGGTGCCGGTGGTGAGGTGGAGGGCACTCGGGAGAGAGGCAGGGCTGAGGACCTAGCTGAGCACTCAGGGTGAGCTGGGCGGCCTCGGCGGCTGGGAGCGGAGGAGTGCTGAGAGCTGACTATGCTTTGGAAGGGCACTCTGGCTGCTGGTAGGGAGCAGTGTAGAGGGCAGGGGCGGGAGCCCGGTGAGGAGAATCCCGGTGAGGGGTGCTGGCGGGCAGTGTGGCAGCAGAGGAGGGGGCGGAAATTGTCAGAACTGGAGGTTCCTGTGTTAGAGCTGACATCACTTGGTGATGAGTCAGATGTGGTATGTGAGGGAAAGGAAGGCGCAGTGGGTACAAGAGGGTTTTGTCCAGAGCAGCCAGAAAGATGGGGTCTCCATCAGAAGGAGGGAGCCTGTGTGATGCCGAAGAGGTGTTGGTTCTGGTCCTTGACATGCTGTGGTTGAGAGCCTTACTGACATCTTCAGAGATGTCACATAGGCCATGGGTGTTGGGTGTGGGTTCTGGGAGAGGACCAGGTCTGGGGCGGTGGCGGGGGGTCATCATCGTGTCAGATTGAGAACAGTGGCCCCCCCTGCACAGGCTGGGAGCGAGGTGGAACCAGCCAGGAGGCTGAGCAGCAGGGAGGGGGCCTCCACTGGTCACCCGTGGCCCGGTCAGGCAGGTGGGGATGGAGCCCTGGCCTGGGTCAGCAGCTCCATGGACAGTTCTCTCTCTTGCAGCTGCCCGGGACCAGGCCACTGAGGAGTACAAAGAGGCGGCGGAGCAGGCCATGTCTGTCCGGCGGCAGGCTGCTGTATGTGCTGGCTTTTCTGCTTGGTCTTTTAGGAACAAGTTCCCCGGTCATTGTCAGGATGTCCCTCACATATCAGGAGGACTTGCCCTCTGCTGCGGGTTCAACGCTCGTGTCCTTCCCATTCGTTCTGGCTTACCAATTAGTGCCTGGCCCATTTCCCCTCCAGAAAGCTGGTCTGTGATGCCTCTGGGTGGTCTCCTCCCCTGTGCTTGTGTACTAGTAAATAAGCACCCGCCTGGCCAGCGGCAGATCAGAATTGAGCCCGACAGTGTCCTCTGCCCCCATCAATACTCTCTCTCACGCCAGAGTGCCTGGAGGGCCTTTCTTAAATGGCCCGGGTGGTCTCTGCTCACCCCCCGGCCCACACCCCTCACCGTCACTGCTCCATCTCACCACCCCGAGGGCACCCGAACCCCTAGCGGGGTGGCATAGCGGAGGCCGCAGGGTTCCTCTCACATGCCTCCGTCTTCCTTCCTGTGGGTGTGTTCCACCTGCAGCTAGAAAACGCCGCCGTGAAGAGAGAGCGAGCAACGAGTGACCCAGGGACCCCAGAGCAGAAACTGGAGAAGAAACGACTCAAAGTTTCCAAGAAGCCGAAGGAGCCAGAAGCGCCGGAAAAAGATTTCACCCCTTATGACTACAGCAAGTCAGACTTCAAGGCTTTTGCTGGTGAGGCCACATCTGCTGCCCGGTTGGGTGTGTGTCCAGGTCAAATGAAGGGCGGCTGTGGAGAAAAGAAAGCGGGACCCAAGACATGCACAGCCCACACTCAGGAGAGCAATCCAGAGAAACCCATCCCCTCTACCACCACCTGCCTTCGGAGCTGCTTGCACCGGCCACTAAAGTGGTTTAGCAAAAAAGCATCCATCCTACAGTGGCTGCACCCTTCCTCCCCGCAGCCCGTGTCCAAATCAGTCTCTCACAGACACACAGTCTCCCAGATCTTATTTGTGGGGAAACCCGACGCCTATGATGCGAAGCTCTGGTTTTGGAACCTTAGCCTGTGAGAGCCCATTTACTTTGAAGGCGCAGATGGCGTTCCTGGCGATCAGCCTCCTGCCAGTGTGTCCCTTTGAAGAGAAAGAAGGCAGGGCTGATGGTCACCTCAGTCCAAGTTAAGGACACTGGCACCATCCAGCACACACAGACCCGAATGCTGGGTTTCCTTGGTGTAAAAGTGGCCAGTGCTTTAGCACCCGCCCCGACCCCTGAGGACAGGGCTGTGAGAAAGCCTGGCCCCCGCTGCCCTGCGCTCCTGGGAACCGGGCGGGAATTGGCATCAGCCATACGTCCCTCCTCGTGAAGGGCAGCAGTGATGAGCGCCCAGCCCAGCAGAGAGCCTGCTGCCTGTGCTAACTCACATGATCACTCTTACCTTTCAGGAAGCAGCAAACCCAAACCTTCTTCCCAGTTTGATCCAAATAAGCAGACGCCATCTGGCAAGGTAAGAAAGACACTTGGGATTTCCAGCAAGTGCCTGGTGCTTGTTTTTTTTTTACCACTTCTGTGGCTAGGAAGATCGGTCCACCCAGGAATCCTCTCGCATATCTTTTCCCTCACCTCATTTCTTCCCAGGCACAAACAATACACACCAGTGATTCCAGCAGTTACAAAAAAATTTAAGAGATTATACAGGCTGGTGTGTGGTTGTAAAGGGTGTTTTTTGTGTTTGCTACCATGGGAATTATAGCTGCAAGCCAGAAACACCCCTGGTGCCGGCACAAGCCTGTATCTGCCCCGTGTGGGTGTTGGTGCCAGGCAGAGTCAGATGGGGCTGAGAACTTGGCACGTGGAGCAGGAGGCCCGGGAGGAGCCCTTCATAGCTCACCTTGTCTTTGTGCTTCTTACCTTTTCAGAAATGTCTTGGAGCCAAAAAACTTAAACAGCCCATGGGAAACAAAAGCATGTCCTTTCCGACTGGAAAGTCAGACAGGTATGTAGTGGAGGCTCAGCCTCTCAGGACCGCCCCTCCAGGCTCCCCCCCCCTGCCCCTTTGACTTGGGGGAAACAGAGATGGGCAGAGGGGCAGTGAGTGTGGGTGCCACCTGTCAGTCTCAGCCAATCCCCAGGCCCAGTGCCCGTCCTCCTCAGCTCCCCACCCGTTACCAGTTTCCCAGGGCCACCTCAGAGCACCTAGGATTGAAGTTTCCCTAGATGAGCCAGTTTCAGAGGAAAGAAATCAAACAAACCAGATGTTGAGAATTTAATCCTAATCCTTAGAGCAGACCTGAGATCAAAGGACTAGGGGTGGGGAACTCCTCTCCCGAGGGCCATTTGGATATTTATAACATCCTTGAGGGTCTTACAAAATTATCAATTTAAAAATTAGCTGTTCTATTTAGTCAAACATTTAACTCCGGACCAAATGACTTCGTTTGGCCCGTGGGCGGGACGTTCCCCACCTCTGCCCCAGGGTGCGCGTGATGAAGAAGGAACCTGCCTTAGATCTTGGTCAGCTCAGAGCACTGCCCCAGCCCACCCACACGTGGAGGGTGTGTGTGGGGGGAGGGGGTAGTTGCTGCCCTGCTCCATTCTCCAGGAGCCAAACAAGCTATTCTCCCCAGTTCTGCATCGTTAGTGTCCGCAGCATTTTATAAATCAGCTGAGAACAAACATCCTTCCGAACTGAAAGCAATAACTTGTTTTCCTGCCGTCTCTGCAGGGGTTTCAGGCACAATTGGCCAAAGAGATAGTGTTGGAAGAGAATCTTGGGATCCCCCCGTGGACTGGAAGCACCAAATGGTGGTGCTGGTTTTGTACAGACTCATTTTTAAACGATTAAAAATAATTCTTACTGGAAGGAAACTGGTTCCTGGCTTTTCCTTTGCTGCTACCACAGAGCTGGCAGGAGAGGGCAGATCAACCCTTCAGCTGTCTGTGGGTAAGTACAGCCTTGGGGCTACTGTGATTTCCAGAGAAACCCCGAACCCCCAAAAAGAGGAATGAACGAGGAGACTCCCTAGACTCAGCAAAGGGCGACATCCACAGGCAGGGAGCATGCTCAGCTGGCTCCCTGGCGGGAAGGTCCGGGGCGGTTCCTCCCTCAGGCACCTCCAGGTGAGGGGAAGGAGGCCCAGTGGTGAGAATGTCAATGGGAGAAGGAGCCCACAGGGCCTGACGGGCCTGCTCCTTCCCTGCTCCTTTCTGTTGTTTGTTTTTAACTTTGTTTGTTGCCAATTACAAAATCATAACATGTTCATTATAGGAAATGAAAACCAAAAAGGAAAGAAAATTATATCATCTATAATCCAACCACATGTAGATAACTAACACTAGTTCGATATAAAGGCTTTTTACTGTGTATAAATATAATTAATGTGTAAACTTGGATTTCTGTATCTCCTGGGGCTTTTTTTTTTTTTTTACCTGTAAGGAATAGAATGGTTTTTAGCTAACCCCTTTACTAGGCATACAGGTTTCCATTTTTGTATTCTTAAAATGATACCGCATGGAACTCGTATACATTTGTGATCCAGTCTCCAGTTACTTCTTTCGAATATTATTTTCTTTTCGACCTGAGTTGGGCAATTAAATTTACAAAACCCACAGAATAATACCTTTTCCCCTCCCCCTCACAAATGCTGATACAAGGAACCTATTTTCTTGGAACTTTTTTCCACAAAGAGGGCTGGCTGCCATGCCCTGTGACTTCTGGGCCAAATCAGACTCCACTGCCCCGGAGAGGGCCCTGAAGCAGGACTGCCCTGTCCCAGAGTGGGCTCGGCCATGTAGCAGCTAGGACTCCAGCGGTTGAAACTGATAGAAAAGCCAGGCTATCGGTGGCTTAGCAAAATAGATGTTCCTTCTCCTCCTCTTCTGTAAGTAGTCAGTCCAGAGCTAATGTGGCAACTGGCAGCCCTCAGACTCTGGCTCCCATCCGGTTGCTTGAACACATTGGAATGTCAGTGAGATTCACCTCATGGCCAAGGAACAGTCCTAGCTCCACCCGTTCATCCTCATTCCCGTCAGCTGGAAGGAAGGGAGGAGGAGGCACCCAGCCTCCCTTTAAAAGGATTCTGCCCATTTCCACGTCCCACTGGCCACACACAGGATGCTGGGAAGTAATTTCAGTGCCCACATGCCCAGCTAAAAAGCCAGAATTGGCCCAGCCGGTGTGGTTCAGTGGTTGAGTGTTGACCCATGAACCAAGAGTTCACAGTTCGATTCCCCATCAGGGCACATGCCCTATTGCAGGCTCGGTCTCCAATAGGGGGCATACAGGAGGCAGCCAACGGATGTTTCTCTCAATGATGTTCCTTATCTATCCCTTTACCTTCTTTCTCTAAAATATATATTTTTTATTATTTTCTTTTTTTTTAAACCATCCCGGCCAGTATGACCCAATAGTTGCACATCCACCTGTGAACCAAGAGGTCGCCAAGTGGATTTCTAGTCGGCACATGCCCTGGTTGCAGGCTTGGTCCCCCATAGGGAGCATGCAGGAGGCAGCCAATAAATGATTCTCTCATCACATGTTTCTGTCTCTCCTCCCCCTTCCTCTCTGAAATCAATAAAAATATATTTTAAAAAAATATATATATATATAGCCGAAACTGGTTTAGCTCAGTGGTAGAGGGTTGGTCTGCGGACTGAAAGGTGCAGGGTTCGATTCCGGTCAAGGGCATGTACGTTGGCTGCGAGCACATCCCCAGGTAGGGGATGTGCAGGAGGCGGCTGGTCGATGTTTCTCTCTCATTGACGTTTCTGGCTCTCTATCTCCCTCCCTTCCTCTCTGTAAAAAATAAGTAAATAAAATATATATATATATATATATATATATATATATATATATATATTTAAAAATAATAATAATAATAAAAAAATAAAAATATATATATAACCCTAGTCAACATACAGGCACCCAATACAGGAAGACCAAAATATATTTTAAAACCTTGGTGGACTTTGGGAGGTAGACAGCAATACAGTCATAGTAGGGGACTTTCCCTCCCCCACCTACGTCACTGGGTAGAATTTCCAAACAAGGAACAACAAGGAAACAGAGGCCTTAAATGATACATCAGATCAGTTGTATCTAATTGATATTTACAGAACAGTTAATCCAAAAGCGACAGAATAAAAATTCTTCTCAGGCACACATGAATCATTCTCAAAGATAGACCATATGTTAGGGCACAAAATAAGCCTTAAATTCAAGAAGACTGAAATCATTTCAAGCATCTTCTCAGATCACAATGGCATGCAACTAGACATCAACTACAATTTTAAAAAAATCTCAAACACATGGATGCTAAATTAAACAATGGATGGATTGCCAATGAGATCTAGGAAGAAATAAACTTCCTGGAAACGGAAAATGAACACACAACAACCCAAAAGGAAATAATAAAGATTAGAGCACAAGTAAACGACATAAAGATTTAAAAACAACCACAAAAAGAGCTGGCTCTCTGAAAAGATAAATAAGATTGATGAACCTTTTAGGCAAAATAACCTAGAAACAAAGAGGACCCAGATAAATAGAATCAGAAATAAAAGAGGCAAAGTAACAACTGACATAATAGAAATTCAAAGGATCATGAGAAAATACTATGAACAACTATAAGCCAACAAGATGGACAACATAGAAGAAATGGAGAAATTTCCCAGAGAAATAATCTTCCAAAATTAAATCAGCAAGAATCAGAAAGCCTAAATAGGCCAATACCAACTGATGAAAACGAAGCCATAATCAAAAAACTTCAGCCGACCCGAAACCAGTTTGGCTCAGTGGTAGAGCGTCGGTCTGCGGACTGAAAGGTCCCGGGTTCGATTCTGGTCAAGGGCATGTACATTGGTTTCGGGCACATTCCCTGTAGGGGGTGTGCAAGGGGCAGCTGGTCGATGATTCTCTCTCATCGATGTTTCTAGCTCTCTGTCTCTCTCTCTTCCTCTCTGTAAAAAATCAATAAAATATGTTTTTTTTAAAAACTTCAGGGAACAAAAGTTCTGGATTGGATGGCTTCCCAGGTAAGTTTTACCAAACATTCAAAGAACTAACACCCATACTCCTCAAACTATTTCGAAATATCCCAGAGGAAGGAATGCTTCCAAGATCTTTGTACAAGGCCAGCATTATCCTGATTCCAAAGCCAGACACTACAAAGAGAGAAAACTACAGGCCAACATCCCTGATGAACATAGATGCTGAAATCCTCAGCAAAATATTAGCAAAATTGATTTAGCAATACATTAAAAAGATCATATACTATGACCAAAGTGAGATTTATTCTGGGGATGCAAGGCTGGTGTTAAATTCTCAAGTCAAATGTGATACATCACATAAAATGAAAGGTAAAGGTTACATAATCATATTGATGCCAAAAAAGCATTTGACAAAATCAAGCACCCATTTTTGATAAAAACTCAGCAAAGTGAGAATCATAACATTATAAAGGCTATATACGACAAACCTACATACATCACACTCACTGGACAAAAATTGCCAGTTTCCCTTAAAAACAAGACAGGAATGTCTGCTTTCACCACTCTGTTTCAACATAGTACTGGAAGTCCTAGCCACAGCAATCAGACAAGAAGAAAAAAAGGCATCTAAATTAGAAAAGAAGTAAAATTGTCATTATCTGCAGATGATATTGTACATAGAAAATCCTAAAGACTCCATTTTATTTTTTATATATATTTTATTGATTTTTTTACAGAGAGGGATAGAGAGCCAGAAACATCAATGAGAGAGAAACATCGATCAGCTGCCTCTTGCACACCCCCTACTGTGGATGTGCCCACAACCCAGGTACATGCCCTTGACCAGAATCGAACCCAGGACCTTTCAGTCCACAGGCCGACGCTCTATCCACTGAGCCAAACCGGTTTTGGCTAAAGACTCCATTTTAAAAACTACTAGAATTACTAAGTGAATTTGGGAAAGTAGCAGGATACAAAATCAACATCCAGAAATTGATGGCATTTTTATGCACCAATAATAAGCAGATAAACTAAAAAACAAACAAAACCTATTTACCATTGCAGCAACAACAACAAAAATACTTTGGAATAAACTTAACCAAGGAGATAAAAGACCTATACTCAGAAAACAGCAGGACATTGAAAAAAGAAATAGAGGAAGACCTAACAGGTGGGAGCATAGACCATGTTCATGGGCTGGAAGAATTAACATAATTAAAATGTCCATACTACCCAAAGCAATCTATAGAGTCAATGAAATTCCTATTAATATTAAAATACCAACAGCGTATTTCACAGATCTAGAACTAATATTCCAAAAATTTGTATGGAACCAAAAAAGACCCCGAATAGCTGCAGCAATGCTGAGAAGAACTAGGTTGGAGGGACCACCATACCAAATCTCAAAACTATACCACAAAGCCACTGTACTCAAAACTGCCTGGTACTGGCACAAGAACAGGCACATAGACCAATGGAACAGAAACCCCAGAAATTGACCCACATCTTTATGGTCCATTAATATTTGACAAAGCAGACAAGAGCATATACTGGAGTAAAGACAGACTCTTCAGTAAATGGTGTTGGGAAAATTGGACAGGTACATGGAAAAAGAAATGAAACCAGATAAACCAACTTACACTATACACAAAAATTCAAAATGAATAAAAGACTTAAATGTAGCCCAGCCAGTGTTGCTCAGTGGTTGAGCATTGACCTACGAACCAGGAGGTTATAGTTCGATTCCTGGTCAAGGCACATGCCCAGGTGGAGGGCTCAATCTTCTTGCAGTGAGGGGCGTGCAGGAGGCAGCTGATCAATGATTCTCACCATGTTTCTCTCTCTCTCCCTCTCTCTCCCTCTCTCTCCCTCTCTGAAAGAGTAAGGGGAGACATCCAGAGAACCTTGCAGTAGTGCTTCTCTGGCTCCTGAGAGAGACCATCAGGAAGCTGGTTAGAAAGACAAGCCCAGGCAGCCCAGACCTGCCCCGTCAGAGTCCTGCCTGGTCAGGGTTGGGGGTGGGCTCAGGACCCAGGTCTGAACAAGCTCTCTAGGTGGGGGCTACTCCTGCTTAAGTCCACGGCCACTATTGTTGGCAAGACCGTGTGCCCCAGACCCTGCTTGGTGGGCTGCAGTGGACATCCCGCTGACCAGGGGTGAGAGGAGGACAAATGTGTTAAGTTCTCGTAGAAGTAAAGTGATGCCTGGTCCTTACTAGTGTTGCTTTGTGACATGTTGTTTTTTTGTTTTTGTTTTTTTTCATTTTTCAAAAGGATGAGGACCAAATAAATAAATCTGAAAAGATGGGGACCATGCGTGTAAGGACTTCTTAAATACCCTTTCTTGCATAAGAAAAAGTTAGCAACCCAATGCCAGTCCCCAAATGTGTCTTTGAAATCTTCCTAAGCCATGGAACCTGTAGCCCAGGAGTGCTGAGCCATGGGATAGAGACGAGGGCCTTGGAGTGTGTGAAGTAGTGGGGAGAGGGCTTGGACCCCCCCAAGGGCGGGCGGGTCTGTGGAGTCGGTGGGGAATGCTCAGTGAATGTGAACGTGGAGAGGTGGCCTGGCCTGCACTCTGGAGAGCGGGATCTGGCAGGGCATTGGGTGGCAGGTGGAGAGGATTGATGAGCCGCAGGCTTTGGCTCAGGGAGGCACGCTCTGTTTGCAACACCTTGGGAAGCTTGCCTTGAGTGTTTTCAACCAAGTAACACCACTAAATGGCCCAATCCATCCTGCTCACAATCACAGCTGTCTGCCTGGCTGAGCACAGTGCTTAAAACCTGACTCTTGCCGAAACTGGTTTGGCTCAGTGGATAGAGCGTCAACCTGCAGACTGAAAGGTCCCAGGTTCGATTTCAGTCAAGGGCATGTACCCTGGTTGTGGGCACATCCCCAGTAGGGGGTGTGCAAGAGGCAGCTGATCGATGACTCTCTCTCATTGATGTTTCTAACTCTCTTTTCCTCTCTCTTCCTCTCTGTAAAAAAATCAATAAAATATATATTTAAAAAAAAACAAAAAACCTGACTCTTGCCCTGGCCAATGCTCAATGGTTAGAGTGCGTTGGGCCGTGGGCAGGAGGCAACCAATCAATGTATCTCACATTGATGTTTCTCTCCCTCCCTCCCTTACACTCTTTCATATATATATGTGTGTGTGTGTGTGTGTGTGTGTGTGTGTGTGTATATGTGTGTGTGTGTGTGTGTGTGTGTATATATATATATATATATATATATATATATATATATATATAGATTGATTTTTTTTGCAGAAAGGAAGAAAGAGGGATAGAGTCAGAAACATCGATGAGAGAGAATTACCGATCGGCTGCCTCTTGCACACCCCCTACTGGGGATGTGCCCACAACCAGGGTACATGCCCTTGACAAGAATCGGTTCTTTCAGTCCGCAGGCCAACGCTCTATCCACTGAGCCAAACAGGTTTCAGTCTTTACACTCTTTCTAAAAATCAATGGAAAAAAATAACCTCAGGCCCTAACTGGTTTAGGGCACATTGACGTTTTTTTTCTTCTTTTTAAAAAAATATATTTTATTGATTTTTTTTTTTTACAGAGAGGAAGAGTGAGTTAGAAACATCAATGAAAGAATCATTGATCAGTTGGCTCTTACACACCCGCTACTGGCGATGTGCCTGCAACCACAGGCCGACACTCTATCCACTGAGCCAAACCGGTTTCGGCTCATTAATGTTTCTTTCTATCCCTCTCCCTTCCTCTCTCTCTAAAAATCAATAAAAACACATTAAAAATAAATAAAAGATACAGTAAACCACTATGTCCAGTTACTATAGGCTTCATTGGCTCTAGCCCTGTATACAGCCTGTACTTCCAACAAGACATTTATGTCTCTGACTTGTGTGTGCCCTGAGCCAGATTAGGGATAGGGTGTGTAGCTGGCAGCACTGTGTCAGAGGCCTAGTCAAAGTAGGAAACCAGAACACCCGTGCAGGCACCTTATGGAATCAGCTGTCATTGTTCTAGGTCAGGGGTCGGCAAACTCATTAGTCAACAGGGGCAAATATCAACAATACAATTGAAATTTCTTTTAAGAGCCAAATTTTTTAAACTTAAACTTCTTCTAACACCACTTCTTCAAAATAGACTCTCGCAGGCCGTGGCATTTTGTGGAAGAGCCACACTCAAGGGTCCAAAAAGCCGCATGTGGCTCTAGAGCCGCAGTTTGCCGACCACGGTTCTAGATGCTGCTCAGCGGAGCCCAATCTAGTGGGTCCGTGGCTTCAACCTCCTAACGGTAGACATCCGTAAAAGGGGAGCGGGGCAAGGTGGGCAATGGCTATGACCAAGGCAATGGTTTACATGGGGCTGCCACCGGGAGTGTGTCTCTGGCACTGGAGTTTCTGTAGTTAGCACCTGAGGATATATTTTTTATCCTCATCTGAGGATATATATTTAAAACATATTTGTATTGATTTCAAAAAGGAAGGGAGAGGGAGAGATAGAAACATCACTGATGAGAATCATTGACCTTGATCAGCTGCCTCCTGCACACACTCCTACTGGGGATTGAGCCTGAAACCCAGGTATGTGCCTGACTAGGACTTGAACCAATGACCTCTTGGTTCATGGGTCAGTGCTCATCCACTGAACCATATCAGCCAACCATATATATATATATTTTTTTAAATATATGTTTTTCACTTTTTTTTTTTTTTTTACAGAGGGGAAGCAGAGAGCCAGAAACATCAATCAGCTGCCTCCTGCACAACCAAGGCACATGCCTCTAACTGGAATCAAACCCAGGATCCCTCAGTCTGCAGGCTGACTCTCTATCCACTGAGTCAAACCAATCAGGGCTGTTTTTCACTTAAAAAAAAATTTTTTTTTAATTGATTTCAGAGAGGAGAGGCGGGGGAAGAGATAGAAACATCAACAATGGGAATCATTGATTGGCTGCCTCCTGCACGCCCCCTATAAGGGATTAAGCTGGGGGCATGTGCCTTGTCCAGAATCCAAGGGTGACCTCCTGGTTCATGGGTTGATGCTCAACCACTGAGCAATATGGGGCAAGCCTGGTTGATTACACTTTATCTGCTGCGTGATCCTTTCCTGCATGAGCTCAGGTCCAGGAATGGTCCCGAGGAAGCTACCATCTCCTAGGAATCCTGAGCTGCGTGGCTCACCTTCCCTGTAAAGACTTCAAAGTAAACGGATGCAGGTTGTTGCTGAGGCCTGAGGCTTGCACTAACAGACACACACCACTGTGTTCTTCGTTTGGGGTTAACAGACGGGGAACAAGCTTCCCACCTCCCCGTGGAGGCTGCAGAACTCCAGTGAAAATACATCCCTGTCATCCTGTCACCAGTGGGTTACACCAGGCTCTTCTCTCCTTGTCGCGGGAAGGACAAGCTTGCAGAGTAATTAGCATGTAATATTTCGCAATTAGCATGCTTAATGGGATTCTGAGAAGCTCCCTGACATTTTCCTAAAAGCAGAAAGCACATTCCCGCCCACCCTTCAGAGGGCAGGGCCCGGTGTGTTCCCCCGCGCGCCGCTCCTTCCCGGAGCTGAACATGCATGCGCTGGCCTCTCCCCAGGCTCCGCTGGCAAATGCAGAAACTCGCTCTGAAAAGAGTTTTTCTTCTTCGGCAGCCATACGCTCCGGGCCCGGGGGATCTAACGGGAAATGGCTAAGTCCAGCCCCAGTCGCTGGGCGGAGATGGTCCTTTTCAAGTAAACAAAACCCCTCAGTGCGCCCCAGACAAGCCACACACTCGGCTCAAGTCCAACAGGAGCCCAGTCTGGGGACAAGTGGAGAAATTCGTTTTCTCTCGCTCTTTGCGGGACAAAGCGGCCGCCAGCTCCCATCCCTCCGGCCCCGGCCCCGGGATGCAGCGGGCGGTCTCCGCGCTGCAAACTCCGCGCCGAGCCGAGGTGTCATCTCAAGTTTCCCCTCCCGAGTCAGACCCCCTCCCGACCCCTCTGAGGCCAGGAACGGCCCTCGGTGCCACGCGGGCCCGGGGAAGGGAGCAGGGGCCCGCGGCTGCACCGCCCGGCCGGCTCCGGGCCGGGAGAGGGACCCCTTCCGCCCGCCCACCCCGCCCGGAGGCCAGACCGCAGCCAAGCTGCCCCGGCCGCGGCCCCACGTGGCCACCTCGGAGCGGGCCGCACTACCCTGCTGAGGCCGACAGACAGCCCGCCCCAGCCACTGGGCGCTGCTCTGCGGCTCAATGGCCAATCAGAATGCGAGGATCCCTGCGGGGGCGGTGCCTCTGAGCAGCCTCGCTCCCGCTCCCGCGCCGCCATTGGAGGAATCGGGCCCCGCCCCCGCCGCCGGGCCCCGCCCCCTTCGCTGTTAGGTTGCGGCGCGGGCGGCGGGCGGAGCTGGTCCCGTTGTGCCGCGGCGCCGCGCGGCCTGCAGTCCCGGGTCCGCGCCCCGCGCCGCCCGCCCGCGCGCCCGCCATGGAGCCCGGCCCCGACGGCCCCGCCGCCCCCGGCCCCGCCGCCATCCGCGAGGGCTGGTTCCGCGAGACGTGCAGCCTGTGGCCGGGCCAGGCCCTGTCCCTGCAGGTGGAGCAGCTGCTCCACCACCGGCGCTCGCGGTACCAGGATATCCTGGTCTTCCGCAGGTAGGACTCCCGCGGGGCGACTCCCGCCGCCCGCCCTGCACCCCGCGGCCCCCGGCCCAGCCCGCCACCCCCCACGCGAGCCCCCGGGACTCCTGCCCCGGCCTCGGCCCGGCCCACCCCTTCCTGCCGGACCCCCGCCCCGCGCCCTTACCTCCGCCGCCCGGGCCGCCCCGCCCGCCCCTCCTCCGGCAGAACTGTCACAAGTTGCCGCGAACTAGGCCAGCGCTCCCCGGCCCCCTCCCGCCCGGCATCCCGGCCTCCGGGCGGTCCGGTCCGCTACGCCGCGGGGAGCCCGAGTCTGCGCCGCCCCGACGCGCCCGCCGAGCTCCACGTGTCAGCCTGGGCCACGTCAGAGTCGGACCCGAGCCCAACCCCGGCCCCCGCGCCACCGGCCCGCCTGCCGCCCCGCCACGTGTCACCCCCAGGACCCGGCCCCTGGGCCCTCCGCGGGGCGGGGAGGTCTCCGCTCCCCCGGGGTTCGGGGAGGCCCGATGCCCCCGCCCCCGGGGCCCGGGCCCTGACTGTCACCCCGCCTCGCCTGCAGCAAGAGCTACGGCAACGTGCTGGTGCTGGACGGGGTCATCCAGTGCACCGAGCGGGACGAGTTCTCCTACCAGGAGATGATAGCCAACCTGCCGCTCTGCAGCCACCCCAACCCGCGCAAGGTACCCGCCCCCCATTCAGCCCTGAGCGCAGGGATAGGAAAGCCCCCCTCAGGGCCCCCCTGGGCCGTGCTGGAGCCCACTGCCCCCCCCCCCCCCCGAGCCCAGTCAGCCCAGCGCTTCCCAAAGGGTGTCAGGGGAAGGGCCAGCGAAGACCAGGGTGGGGAGGGGGTGAGGGGGAGAAGGGCCCCCTTGGCAGGGCTGGGGGCTGAAGCTCGGGAGGGAGTTTTTGGGAAAGGGGCAGCCCGGGGCCAGTTGCCTGGGAGGAGGAGGGGGTGATGAGGTCTGTCGGTCGGAGGAGCCAGATTCACCCTGGCTGGAGGTGATTTTGGGTGATTCTGGGTGAGTGCACCTGCCCGGCAGCCTGCCTGCCGGGGCCTGTCTGGTGGGGCTGGCGCCGGGCCGGGCCCTGACTGTTCCTCCCTCCCAGGTGCTGATCATCGGAGGCGGGGACGGCGGTGTCCTGCGGGAGGTGGTGAAGCATTCCTCCGTGGAGTCCGTGGTCCAGTGCGAGATTGACGAGGTGAGTGCCCCGAGCAGGGCCAGGGCCTGGGTGCGAGCACCCGCTCTGCACTGAACTGGCTGCGGAACCCTGGGTAAGTCCCGTAATCTCTCTCCCAGTGACTTAGTGAGCATTCGGTGTGCCATCGGTGCCGGTTCTTAGTAAGATGGGGTGCTGGTTTTTAAAAAATATATATATTTTATTGATTTTTTACAGAGAGGAAAGGAGAGGAATAGAGAGTTAGAAACGTCGATCAGCTGCCTCTTGCACACCCCCTATTGGGAATGTGCCCACAACCAAGGTACATGCCCCTGACCGGAATCGAACCTGGGACCTTCAGTCCGCAGACCGACGCTCTATCCACTGAGCCAAACCAGTTAGGGCTGGGTGCTGGTTTTCAGTTGAAGCCCCAGGCAAGGCCCAAGGACATGTGACCATTAGGGCGCCCAGCCTGTCCTTTGTGACTGTCCAGTGTGAGGCAGCCGTTGCTCAGGTGCTGGGGGGCCATGTGCAGAGGCGGATCAGCGCCTGTTGGAGCTGATGCTCTAGTTAAAGAGACAGCGCAGGGCGATATGTGATAAAGGCGTGAGGCTGGCAGTGGTCCAGGCAGGCCTCCGGGAAGAAGCTGCAGCTGAGTGAGAAGCATCGGCACATGGAGGCAGGGACCCTGGAGGCAGGGACCAGCTCTCTGATGGGAGCTGGCATTCCGCCTCGGAAATAGCAAGAAACCTCCAGATGGGGCCCGTGGGTCTAGGGGGGAGCGGGAAGAGTGGAGATTCAGCTGAGGAGCGTCCAGAATGCCCCCCGTTTTACAAATGTGGGAACCGGGGTTCCACGAAGCCAGTGGCTGGCCCGAGGCTGCGGGGCCGTGAAAGGGTTCGATGGCTGGGAGTCCTGCTCGGCTCCAGCCCGGCCGCGGCCTGATCCCGCCCGCCCGCCCGCCCCCTCCCAGGATGTCATCCAAGTCTCAAAGAAGTTCCTGCCCAGTATGGCCATTGGCTACTCCAGCCCAAAGCTGACCCTGCACGTGGGCGACGGCTTTGAGTTCATGAAACAGAACCAGGACGCCTTCGACGTTATCATCACCGACTCCTCGGACCCCATGGGTAAGCGAGGGGGGGCCCGGGGCCCTACAGCGGCCACCTCAGGAGCCAGCCTCCCCCTGCTCCCCAGAACTAGCGCAGTCCTTTCCCTTCTTAGTTGTCACCCCCTCCCCCACTCCCCCAACAACAGCTCAGCAGAGCAGGGGGACCAGGCCACTCACTGCCCAAAGTTCACAGTTGCTTGGGGACCAGCAGGGGAGTGGGGCGCTGGCCTTGGCCCAGAGGCCCCAGGTACCTCTTCAGCCTCCTCTCTGCTCGGGACATGCCGGCATGGGGGTGGGGTAGGTTCCCCTTTAAATCCAGGCCCAGGGTGGAGAGCCACCGGGCAGTGCCAGTGGGAACCCCCGGGAGTGGGTGCAAGTGCGCTCTCAGGGCTGGTTTCTGGGTGCCACAGGCCTGGGTTCGGGCCCCGGCTCCGGCGGCCTCAGCCAGCACGTGCTCATTGCCGTCCCTCTCTCCGCAGGCCCCGCCGAGAGCCTCTTCAAGGAGTCCTACTACCAGCTCATGAAGACGGCCCTGAAGGAGGACGGGATCCTCTGCTGCCAGGGTGAGCGCCGCCCGAGCAGCCAGAGGCGCTGAGCGGCAGGTGGGGGGGCGAGGGGAGGGGGCCGGCCGGCCGCCAACCGCTGCTGCCCCCCCAGGCGAGTGCCAGTGGCTGCACCTGGACCTCATCAAGGACATGCAGCACTTCTGCCGGTCGCTCTTCCCCGTGGTGCGCTACGCCTACTGCACCATCCCCACCTACCCCAGCGGCCAGATCGGCTTCATGCTGTGCAGCAAGAACCCGGTGAGCTGCTGGCGTCCTGGCCAGGGGGGGCAGGGGCAGGCGGGCACGGAGAGCAACCCCCTGACGCCCCCTCGCCCGCCCCCACCCAGAGCACCAACTTCCAGGAGCCCGTGCAGCTGCTGACGCAGAAGCAGGTGGAGCAGATGCAGCTGAGATACTACAACTCCGACGTGCACCGGGCGGCCTTCGTCCTGCCCGAGTTTGCCCGCAAGGTGAGCCCCGGGGGGCGCGGGGGCTGGAAGAGGGGGGACCCAGGGCTTCCTGGGGCACCCACCCCAGCCCGCAGGCGGCCCACTATCCTCCTGACCAGCCTCACATCCCACCAGGCCCTGAACGATGTGAGCTGAGCCCAGATGCTGCTGCCGACACCGGCCTGGACCTCGGGCCAGGTGGCCCTGGACAGGTCCCAGCCGGCACCCCGACAACTGAGTGTTACAGCCCCAGGATGCTGCCCGCCCGCCCCGCTGGCGGACTGTCTGCAGTGTTCCGCTCCAAGCCTCTGCCAGCTGTGTACAGCCCCTCCGCCCCCTGTCACCCCCCTCCCCAAACACATGTATTTATAGCAAACGTCCACATCGTGTGTTCCCAGACCTTCAACGGGCCCAGGCAGGGGCTGCAGCAGCCATTGCTGGCGTCTGTGTGCCGGGCTCTGAGCTGGACCCGTGTCTGACCCGCCTCTGGGACAGGCAGGCCTTGCCCTCCCGGCAGCCCCGGACCAGCCCCTTGACCACTGGCACCAGAGGCACAGCAGGCACCAAACTGCACTCCAGTCTCCCCGAGGAACTGTCCACAGTCCTCTGCCCGCCCCACAGGCCCCACAGCGGGTGGTGACCAACCCCGGGGCCAGGGCTGTGGGGTGATAAGATGGAGGCGGGCTGCCCCAGCTGCGCTTTCTCCTGGGGCTTCCCGAAGTGATGGCGGCCTGGGAGGACTGAGGTCCCAGCGGGGTGGGGCTGGAGGTGGCTCCAGAGGGTTTGGGTGCAGTTATGGGCCTGTTGGAAGCACATCCACTGCCCTGACTTGGCTCAGGGTTCAGACTCGGGTTCCCACCCTGCCTGCCCCGCTCCTGGTGCCCTCTGGGAAATTCCTGGAAGCTCCCCCAAGTGTTGAGGTTGAGAAAGCCGGTGTGAGTGGCCGCTGGGGACCGTGCCCTCTCCATGGTGCTGAACGCCCGCCCAGCCGGTTCCCCGGGCGCCTCACCCCTCTCCTTAAAGGCCCTGCTGAGACTGGTGTGGGGAGAGGAGCCTCCACTGCAGGGTGCGCCCACTCCCGACTCAGCCAGCATTCCAGAGGCGCTGCCAGAGGGTGGGCTGCTGGGAAGCTTGTGGGCAGGGAGTGGGCCCAGCCTGGGGGTGTTGCTAGAAAACTCCCCAGCCACACCCACACCCCAGGCAGCTGCCTAGGGCCCATGCAGTAGGTTCTGGGACTGGAGTTCTGGGGGCAAGCTAGCATCCCGATTTTCAGCCAACTCCTGAGTAGCCCCAGGCCAGTCACTCATCCTCGGCTCCACCAACCTGGGCCTCGCCCACAGGAGCTCACTGGGCTCAGCACGGATGTGTGACCTTGGTCAGCAAGTCGGACCCCAAGCCCTCCGCATTCCGCCTTCCAGTCCCAGGACAGGCTTGACCCCCCTCAACAGCCAATAGCACATGCGCCCCAGGGTCTCCCACTCTGGGGAGGCCCCGAGATCCCATTGGGCTCCTCTGGGCTGCAGTTTGTGCATCAAAGGAACACGCAGTGGCTGGTGAGAGCTGATCCACCAGGTCTAACTGCAACCTTAGTGCCACCTGTGGGGTGGGCACTGCTCTCCCCTCCCCTCTCCCGCACAGGACGACGAGCTGACCAGCTAGGAAGTGGGCTGGGGAGGACACGCCTGCCTCCCTGAGGGCAGCCCAGGGAGGAGGTGGACAGGGGGAGGGCCCATCTCAGAGGGCTCCAGCTGGGCCTGCGTCTCTGCTGCCTGGGTTACCCCACCTGTAAAAGGGAGCGATGGTCCTCACCTGCCACAGATTCCACTGGGAATCCTGCCTCTGTCATCGCTGAGCTCTGGAAGGTGGATGGCCTCAGGGCAGAGGACCAGGGAGCCAGCCGGTTGGTGGAAATGCGCCCCCCCCCCCCTGCAGCAGAAGTCTGCCATGCCGTCCCTCCACTTTCCGGCTCTTAAACTCAAGTCCCCTCCTTGAGGGGTTTCCCGTCTAGGTGGGCATCACCTGCTGAAGCAGAAGCAGAGGGTTTAGTGAGGACACGATCTGAGTCCCCTAAAGTCCCAGGAGTCATGGCGAGGGACCGAGACAGGTATGGTTTGTCCCAGGGAGATTAACCGGAATCCCATCTCAAAGTTTGAAGTTTAATTCTCAGAGTTGGCCGTTCGCCTGTGAGCGCCAGGCGGATCCTTAGGAGAAACCGCAGCCCTGTGCCCACTTCCTCCAGAGGCAGGCCGCTGGCCTCGGTGTTCACGCTGCGTCTGCCCAACAGGCTGGACCTGCTGTCCTACCTGAGCTTCCATAGGGACGATGAGGTCATGCCTTTCCCCTCCCTGCTCCCCCTGCTCACACTCCTGACAGTTACATGTGACCTGGGTCAGCTCAGTGTCGATGGCCATTGGCCGCTGAGGCAAGGAGTCAGGGCCACTTTCTCTCCTCCCACAGCTTTTTCTCCCTCTGGAGGTTTTTTGGGGACTTTTTCCTATGCTTAGTTTGCAATGCATTTATCACTTGTTTAACCTCAAACTGTTTTGTTTTGTTGGTGTTTTTTTTTTGTTTGTTTGTTTTTTTTTTACCAATTCTCTAAAGCTTTTAACACATGTGGACACACAACACACTTCATGAGGGTCAGAACAATATGCTAATCAATCCATTTTTGGATAGGCAATCTCAGTATTTTATTTAGCCCCATTTTGACTTATAATTAATTCGTGATTATATTGAATGGGATATTCAGTAACTGGAAATACTAATACACACAATGTGCATTGCTTTATTAAAATGATTTGTATCATAATATATATATATATATATCACTTTCATTTAGGGGAGAAAGAGCAATTACTAAAAAAAATTGTTTTAAAAGATCTTCTGACTCAACGAGCGTCTGTCATTTTCCTCTTCCTGAAGGATCTGTCTGGAGGTTTCCGACTGCCCCTAATGGGGCTCCCCATCGGAGCGCTGCGTCTGGGACCCCGTGACTTCCTTTCTTGTTTGCTCCCTCGTTTTGATGGGGCATATCCTCAAGCAGCTTTCTGAGGAGGGACAATTGGATGCAAATCTGTAAAACTGACATGCATGAGAAGGTCTATTCCGTCATGTGTGATGGGTGGGAACAGAAGACTTAAATAATCTTCCTTCAGCATTTTGAGATGTGCTCTTTTCCATTTTTATTTTTTAAATACTTTCCTTTTTATCTTTTTAGTCCTCACCCAGGGATATTTTTCCGTTGATTTTTAGAGAGAGGGGAAGACAGAAACATTGATCTGAGAGCATTGATGCTGGTGCCTCCTGCAGGAGCCCTGACCAGGGCCGCCGTGGGGAGGAGCTGCCCTTGACTGGAATCAAACCCGGGACCCTTCTATCCACTGAGCCAAACCCATAGAGGCCCATTTTTATTTATTATTTTTAAATTCTTTATTGCCCAGTAGGCATGGCTCAGTGGTTGAACATTGACCTATGAAGCAGAAGGTCATGGTTTGATTCCCAGTCAGGGCACATGCCGGGGTTGCAGGCTCAATACTCAGTGTGAGGCATGCAGGAGGCAGCTGATCAATGATTCTCTCTCATCGTTCTCTCCCCCCACCCATACTTTTTTTTAAATTAAAAAAATATATATTTTATTGATTTTTGTACAGAGAGGAAGGGAGAGAGATAGAGAGTTAGAAACATTGATGAGAGAGTCATCGATTAGCTGCCTCCTGCACACCCCCTACTGGGGATATGCCCGCAACCAAGGTACATGCCCTTGACCGGAATCGAACCCAGGACCCTTCAGTCCCCAAGCTGACGCTCTATCCATTGAGCCAAACCGGTTTCGGCTCTCCCCCCTCCCACTTTTATCTCTCTTCTCTCTCCCCACTTCAACTATGAAATACAAAAATATATTTAAATATTTTTATTGATTTCAGAGAGGAAAGGGGGCCTCTTTTCTGTTTTGATTAGTCATCGATTGCTGCCTTTAAAATGAGCTCCGGGCCCAGTGGGGCTCGCGGGAGCGTGACGCTGTGTCCTTGCTCCCTCCCAGACCTGTGTCTTCACTTCCCCCCCTGGACTCTGAGGGTCTCCGTGAAACTGGCAACCAGGGAAGCAAGGGGCAGCAGCAGCTTGTCCCAGGCTTGCCTGCTGCTCCATCCCAAGGCCCTTTTCCTCTGACTGTGCAGGGAGCTGACAGCCGCCTCACCTTGGCTCCCTTCTTTCCAGTAACATTTCTAGGGTCCCAAAGCAGAGGCCGCCTCAGCTCTCTCCTGCTGCTGCTTCTGTCCGAAGCCCTTCCTTGGTTTCACTGTCCCAGCTTTAATAAATGTTCTCTCAAAATTAAAATCCATATATAAAAGCCAAGCGACCGGAATGCTGGAACGACCAGAGTGACCGGTCGCTGTGATGCACACTGCAGCTGGCCAACCGCCCGATGGGGATGGGGTGGGGAGCGGCTCCTTTCCCTGGCGCCTGGCCAGGTTGGGGGCGGGGCCGGTGGCCAACCTCCCACATCGCCCCCAGCCTGATTGGGGTGGGCCGGCCAGACTCCACCCGTGCACCAGGTCTCTAATAAATAGTATCCTCTTCTTTTTTCTCTTTTTTTTCCTCGGAAGGTAATCATGATTGTTTTGCTTGGGTTTGGGTCATTTTCTTTCTTTCTTTTTTTTATATATATATTTTATTGATTTTTTACAGAGAGGAAGGGAGGATAGAGAGTTAGAAACATCAATGTGAGAGAAACATCGATCAGTGGCCTCTTGCACACCTCCTACTGGGGATGTGCCCGCAACCAAGGTACATGCCCTTGACCGGAATTGAACCTGGGACCTTTCAGTCCGCAAGCTGACGCTTTATCCCCTGAGCCAAACTGGTTTCAGCTGGGTCATTTTCTTAAAAAAAAAAAAAAAATTTATATATATATGTGTGTGTGTGTGTGTGTGTGTGTGTGTGTGTGTGTGTGTATACATATACATATATGTATATATATACTAGAGGTCCGGTGCATGATATTTGTGCACTGGGGGTTGGGTTTCCTCAGCCCAGCCTGCACCCTTTCACAGTCCAGGAGCCCTCAGGACGTCTGACTGATGTCTGACTGATGGGGAGCAGACCTGAGCCACAGTTGGCATCCTTAGGGCTGCTGTGGAGGTGGCTGCTCCACTGGC